TTTAAGTACTGTCGGAACAGAAATTGGCAAGATTGAAGGTGTTTGCGTCCCGTTCACCTCCATCCTCTCTCGTCTCCAACGTCTGTTCTATCGTGTTTGCCCATTGTTTCTTTGCCGCCACTTCATAAAAAAGAATCTGATATAAAGGAAGCTCTTCATTATTTTTGGTGGTTACTTTTTCTCCGGTAGTGCCCCCTTGCGCTTTTTCCATGTTGATCTTCATTAACCTCATCATTCTATCGCAGAGTATGCCTCGTAGTAATATAGTTTAGTAACGGTGGAGTAATATAATACAGTAAGAGGAGGAAAAGGGATCCACCTACTGTGATTGATACTTCCCTTGTGGTTAGAGATATGCCATAGATTCCATTCCGACTTGGTTTCTTCGAGACATTTGAACACTTTTGCTTCTAACTCGCACCCTCCCAATGCAATACCGCTCGAAAAAATGTCTGCATCTAGTTGGAATAATTGGGTAACTTCGATGATATATTTTCCGATTGGAGTGTTCTGCTTGAGGAATGATCTGATGGGATGTCAAGAACAGTGGGGCAATTCTTTCCGCTATACCATCCTCTCACTTACTACAGATAAATGTTTGACTTTCAGGTGTCTGCTTTCTTGCCAGCGTTGAAGTCTTTGTTCTCATTAGCACAATCGACATTTGCGAGGTGATATGGTCGTCTATAACGCTCTACGAAAACAATGTCGTTTTTTAAAACCGTGGTTTGATAAGTCCTAATAATATGTGATAACGTATCTAAATTATTATATCGTCTGTTGAATCATAGCTACGTTCGTTACGAGTTTTCACAGTATACTAAAAGTTGGTTTTGAGTTGTTTACTAGGAAAAGTTTACGTGTAAAAATGTGCTTCATAAATGTTTACATGGGTTTTGGGAGTAATTTTGACAGATGCAGTGGTTGGTATTCACCAGTCTTTCTCATACCGAGAAAAGATGTGTTTTACAAGCAGAGGGACAGCTCCGCTCCGCAACCGCTCGCGTCCCTTATTACTGGTCACGAACCGTGAACTTTGTGATATTTCCATGTCATTTGGTAACCTTCGTATTTTGACACTACATAATTCACATTT